AACACGGGTTCAATACGTCAACCCTGGCACGTTTTTATTACGTTGATATAGGTACGTATTGCTGTGTTTTTATTGCGTTTCTTCAGGTACGTATTGCGGCGATTCAGAATTCAAATATCCGGGGACTGTCGCTAAAAGTTCATGCTCTGTCTGTTGGAAATATGCCCTACACCAAACCCAACCCTAAACCTACCGATAGTGTTAACAAACGCAAAACTGATATAAAAAAACACATTTTTTGATGCAACCGTGCCATTTTAACTTTCTTATATGCAGATCTGAAATGTTTTGTTGAACTGTAGTTACACGGGATTCAAACCGGAGCTTTTCACCTCTCAAGTACACCTCTGTACTCCGTGAGCTACCGAACAAACCTATTGTCTATGAAAACCCATTGATATGAAGCTGGATATGTGCGGTGCTAACAATCAAAAGCATCAGTTTTCAAATCTCCCAGCATATTAAAAATGTTTTGAAGTCACAACATAATACTCCTCAAGTAATTGTGCGAAAATTACGCTTTATTAATCGAAACTCTGTAAATCATACTCTGTGTGAAAATAATTTAAAAGGTGTCGGAGTTTTACTGCCTCTAGTGTTCATTTTTTTTGGAAACGGCAGTGATATGTACTTATTGGTACGTATTTCGCGTCTTGCAAAAATGTGCCCCCAGATACGTATTTGCAATGAGACCGGGTAGATTTTTTGGGAGTATCTGTACTTTACTTGAGTTTTAATATTCCAGCCAACTTTTACTTTTACTCCACTACATTTCCTAATTAAAATGTATACTTTTACTCCGATACATTTCCCTGAAGCATATTCGTTACTTACTACAAAATAGTCAGAAGTCAGAAGAACACGGACTGCAGGAAAGCAGGTTTGACGAATCAGTGTTCTGGCGTCTGCAAGATAGACTCATAAAACACCTTTGCTCAGGAGCAAACAAGTGCGCGCACAACCACGGATGATTCATTTCCCTCACAGGTCGAGTCTGGGGTCTGCGATCAGGGGTGATTTAATGTGGTCTGGTGCCCCTTGGCTGCTCTTTGTGTGAGGACCCCTTTAATCATTGCTTTACTGGAGAAATATATTTAGTGCCATACATGGTCCACATGCAGATAGTAAGGTGAACTGGCATACACTCACACTCACACACTCACACACTCTCTCACTCACTCACACTCACACACACTCACACACACACACACTCTCTCACACTAAGTACCGGATGAAGTGCTTCTTATTCTTACACAAAGACACACAATGGAAGAAAGAGTTTAAACTGAACACAATCTTGCTACTCAAGCTGTGTATGAACATTTTTTATTTACAGAGGATCAAAACCTTTCTTTCAAGTTGTTCTAAAACGCCTTGTCTTTGGACAACTTTGATTAACTATTTTGATCCACTTCAAATGTTGACTACTGTACATTTATTTTATTTTTTGCTTCTTTTCCATTTTACTTTTACTTTCAGTGCGTTTAAGATTTAAAAAAACCTTTTCGTCCTTGAGTACAATAAATATCACATACTTGAAGGCTTTTCCTCGAGTAATATTCTAAACGGTGAGTTTAACTTCTACCAAAGTCATTTTCTGGTAAGATATCTGTACTTTTATTGAGAATGGCTTTCAGGTACTTTATACACCACAGACTAATAATCATAAAGATCACGAAACACCAGCGACATTACAGACAATAGTTCCAGCAGTATTCATTACCATCCAGTGATACAAACATAAAGTCAAGAATTAAACTTACTTTGTCAGTAACTTTGTCCTGCGAGTAACGTTAGAGATGTTACTCAACACAGAAGCTTGTGAAGCAGATCTGGGGCCAGTTCAAAGTACGCAACATTTCCTGCTCTGCGGTCTGCAACAGTGTTAGAGATAGTTTTCTCTTGTTTGGTGGATGTGTCAGAAATGTCAGCAGCAGCATGTATATAAACCACACGGTATTAAAGAGACAGCTGCACAATGTAGTTAACATCAAAATAAATTCACAAGAGCAAGAATATAGTTTGCACATGTTTATTTACATTAAAGTCAAAATAACTGAAATAATAAGAGCAGAAGTATAGATCTGAAACTTCTTTAAGTCTGTCTAAATATCGTTTAGTAATTGCAATGTCTTCTGATCCATATCCTTTCCTCAGGAAGGTGTGCTAGACACTGATTACTGTAACAAAAATACTATACGTATTTATATATTTTGCTATTGTATTGTGGAGTGACACGTTCATAAACTTGTCTATACTCCTCTGATTATATAATGGTAAATATTACAATAACATAGCACAACAACAGTGATCAGCAATAATGATAAGCCTAATACGCACAATAAAAATAATAAGGTCATATAGAT